TGTGTGTGTGTGTGTGTGTGTAGTGAATGTCCCCGCTCAGTAACGTCCTCTATGGGCTTTACTATCACCCCACCAGACCCTAGAACGCTAAAACCTTTCGTGGCTTCCTGAATAGTATACAGTACAAGCAGCAAGGTAAGGGCCTAAACAGTAACACACTAACAAGATCTTTGGCTGTCTATTACCGGATACCCATTCCCTCTTGAGTAACGTGAGGAAAACGCAAGCAAAGTTACCTTTCCAAAGGACACAACGTCGGGCCCCTGACACGGTTCGAACCCATGTCCTTTGAGTTGCAAGCCCAAAAGCCTAACAATTAGGACACGGGCGCAATACTACAAACGAGAAAGATCCACCGAAAAGAATTCTTCATCTTAATTAGATTTTTTAAAGAATAAATAAACTCTCTTTTTGTTTTAGTACTAGGTCATATGAGCGCCCAGAAGATTAGAAGTGTTACAAGAGAGTAACAAACATAAAAAAGAAGGATGGGAGATAAGGACGATAGATGTTTGATAGGAAAGGAGCAATCCACACCAGAGCATCCACCAACCACCCACAATGAACACTCTATTTTATAGTCCCTATGGTTAAATTTGGCTTGCAATGATACCACACCAATACCGACAATAAACGGGCCACTGATGATCACCACTGTACAGCCCCTGCTAGGGTTATCGTGATAAGGGTTGATACTCGAGGGTGTTATTTCTCTTTGGTATTGTTTGCATCCTCACCCTGTGTGAGGTGAATACATGAGAACTGTTTTCTGACTTCTCCCCCCCCCCCGTCCCGCTCCTGCACACCCCCTTTTCTTTCCTAAGAAAATAAACTATCGTGGAATCTTTCCCGCTTCCTTCCTCAGTTCCAACTACAACTCCAATTAAGGTTTCAACGCGCCTGGTGGATAAAAAAGGAACTGCAAGTATTCCGACACCTTTTTTTCTTGCAGGTGACTAATTGAAACTTTTTATCCTGAAGTTGACGGAAAAGCAGAACACTTGAAGGAAACATTGACAAACGCAACTTAGAGGGAAAAGGAAACGCGAAATTGAGACAAATGAACTAGTCCTTGGGATACATTTTCTGCGATCCATTTTCAGGGACTTTTCCAATTGGCACCGTCTAAAACTAAAAATGAACAGGTTGTTGTTGTTGTTGGAGTTAAACACCCCAGACACAATTAACGTTTTTAGAAGACAAAAAAGAAAGGATGCTGGGGTGGAAAGGGAAGGTGTGGGGAGGGGGAGTTAACCTCTTTCCGTATTGAAGAATAGGGCCCAAAAAACCTAGATAACAAAACCTGGGGCTCAATTCTAAGAGGAGTTTTCCCGGAAGCTGTTGGTTTTACCGATTGATTACTGGGTTTTTTTTCTTTACTAAAAGAGGGTGTGATATAATGGTGCTGAAATTGCATTTTTTCTCCGCAACCGATGTTTTGGGCTATCACTGCAACCGTAGGTCCTTGAAACAGCGCAGGGTTTAGAAAAACATCTCTGCAGAATTTTTCCATGTGGCTATTTTTAGTTTGGAGATATTGGCATGTTGTGAACCTTTGGTATTTTTCCTTTTAAAGCTGTATAAAAATTGTTTGTTATTGTTTTTTTTAAACCTTCTTTGGATGTTGACCAATGGCAAGAAACTATATTCATGTATAGTTTAAAAGGACCTCAGTAAGCCTACGCTCTGTTGAGGACTGCTTTTTCTATCTGTTCAAGTTCATGAGTTCAAGAGAGAAAGAGTAATAAAAAAGAGAGACAGAAACACACAGAAACACTCACACTCACACACACACACACACACACACACACACACACACACGCACGCACAGAGCAAGAGAGAGAGAGAGAGAGAGAGAGAGAGAGAGAGAGAGAGAGAGAGAGAGAGAGAGAGAGAGAGAGAGAGAGAGAGAGAGAGAGAGAGAGAAAGAGGGGGGGGGGAGGTTGATATGACACAGTGTATGTCTATTTTGTGTCTCTAAAGCCGGTGACAGCACGGTTAATTTCTCCCACTGAAAATTTTAATAGGCGTATAATTTTATCTATGCCTATCTTATCATATGCCTTATATTATCTTATCTTATCGTATCTTATCTTATCTCATTTTATCGTATCTCATCTCTCTTTTTTTATCTTATCGTATCTTATCGTATCTTATCTTTCTCCTATTTTCTCCTATCTTTCTCTTATCTTTCTCTTCTCTTCTATTTTCTTCTCTTCTCTTCCCTTTGGTCAGTATTTCTGATCAAGCAAGTCACCCTGTCATGCGGCAAAGCTTATTTGAGCTGATCAGGGTGGAGAATTATTTGAATTGATAGTACAACATTGCAACATAGTTGTGAGAGGGGTAGTGGGTGTTGGCTTTGAATCTAACAATTTTCCACTACACCGGTGTGGCGGAATAAATTTATGTTCCTACTCATGGTTTAAACTTTCAGTTTCAATTAATGTGATCTCTCATACTCCAAGTATAAAAAGTCTCTATGCATGGCAGAGGTTTGGATTTAGAAATGGGCAGAATAATTGGGAGCTTAATAAATTCTACTTCTCGGATTATCCACGTTCGCGTATAATTCTAGAGTGTAGACTCCTCCATATTCAAGGGAATACTGTAGATTCTAGTATATTTCAAGCATGATATTGTCATTTTGTAACACAGACCTTACCACTGGCTTTTTCCTTTGAGACATTCTCCGGAAGTTTCAACCACAGCTCAATCGCTTTGAAAATTGTTTTAAAAAAAAAAGGAAACAAAAACAAATAACAAGCCCTAATGACGTCATAATACGAACTCAATATTGCGGGCTATTAATAGAGTTTAAGGCACTTTGTACATAGATTTACTTATAAAACATCTAGATGTAAGACTATACACTCTAAAGGGCTTCACCAAAGAGAGCAACATTTATCGTTATTTGGAACCAAAATTAATGAAGAACAAGGAGGGAAAGATTGCACATAGGCTACTCACGACTGTAGCGAGAATGGTGTTTTGTCCTATATTATTTGCATGCCCATGATGCGCACTGGCGCAGCGAAGTTCGTATAATTGTGAGGCAGCGTGGTGGAATCAGGCTTTCGTCAATTTTTGGGCATGTAGGGTTATTGGTATCCTCCTAAAGCTTATTCACTGTCTCTATTTGGAGGAAAAAATATCCTTTAATCATGAATACAAGTCGAGATATTTGCAAATGAAGGAGGTGGGAGTCACCTTTTTTCTGAGGTAAAATAAGTGAGAAAATGGCCGCCAAAGATTAGTTATTTCCTTAGCATAAGAGTCTGTGGTAACTGAAAATTAACATGTTTGTGTGCCTTTAATCGACGTTTTTCAGAAAAATTCACACAGAAATTAGTTCTTGACGTGAAAGGTGTCGGGCCAAAAAACAAGAATTTGATAAAAATTCACAAACCTGTGAAAAAAGCAAGTTTTGTCACTTTGATTATTTTGACGAGAGCCTGATTCCACCACGCTGCCTCACAATTATGGTGAGCAGAGAACGGCGACGGTCTACGGTAATGTTACTATTCAGGTCTATGAGTATGAGAAAACCAAATACTAGAATCCAGAGCAATTACCCAGTATCCACACATTATTTTATTGTGTATAATTCTAACGAGATTCGAGGAATCTGGGTAGGCAAACAGAAGGAGAGAATGAGGGGAGAAAGAGAGAGAGAGAGAGAGAGAGAGAGAGAGAGAGAGAGAGAGAGAGAGCAGCTTTTCACGAAAAGAAGGAAAAGATTAGTCAACTTTCGGTCACGTATTAATTTATTCTATTTCTGGAAGTCGAAAAAAATTAATTGCCAATTATTGTGTAAACCTGTAAGCATGAAAACACACATACATATCTATTATTAAGTCTCCCACATACCTATTATTAGGTCAACCCCTCCCATCCCTCCCGCACACGTACATTCTCTCTCTCTCTC